TGCAGACGACCTCAAAATATTTTTACGAATTTGCTCGATCGCTGACTGCCACAATCTTCAACATCAGCTTAATTTCTTCGCCAGTTGGTGTACTTTAAATCGAATGGTAGTGAACCCAGCAAAGTGCTCTGCCATAACGCTCTCACGAAAAAAGTAACCGATTGTATTCAGCTATGACCTGCTTGGAACGACACTCGAACGCGTGAATCAGGTGAAAGACCTGGGTGTGGTGTTGGATTCACATCTAACATTCAGGCAACACATTTCTTATGTCATCGATAAATCGTCCAGGACTTTAGGATTCATCTTCAGGATAGCTAAGAATTTCACCGATGTCTACTGTTTAAAATCTCTTTACTGCTCCCTCGTACGATCGACGCTTGAGTATTGTTCTGCGGTCTGGAATCCGAATTACAACAATGGTGCCGAGAGAATCGAATCTGTTCAACGTCGCTTTCTTCGTTTTGCGCTTCGTTTACTGCCCTGAAAAGATCCGCTTCGTCTGCCCAGCTACGAGAGTCAGGTTGACAGAGAGAGTTATGTGATGAACTAGCCTACGGCTAAAAATCACAAAAATAAAGAAAAAAAAAAAAAAAAAAGCTACGAGAGTCGCTGCCAACTGATAAACCTTGAACCTCTCCGGATTAGAAGGGACACCAGCAGAGCTTTGATTATCGCCGACACTCAACAGGGATGAATAGATTGTGTGAGGCTATCCTGAGGCAAATTGACCTAAACGTGCAACCCCGACCACTCCGTAACAACCTCATGCTGAGACTGCCACTGTGTCGCACGAACTACGAGGCATATGGTGCGATTTGCGGACTACAGCGTGTGTTCAAAAGAGTTGCATCTGTTGTAGCATACCAATTTATGCCTATCAGCTACTTTCAATTAATCAGAAAATATTAAGTTACTGCACATTCACTGCGAGTGCTTTTTCAATCACCTGGGAAAATATAAATTCCCACATCCAAATTGCTTACACAGCGCAAAGGGCAATATCCGATGCGACCCAATCAACCTTGAAATACGGGTGCTAACGATATGCTCAATATGCCTTCTCCATACACTCTCTCTCTCTATTTTCTCATTCATCACTGCACGCTGATTGGCGTTCTTTATATACTTAAAATATGTCCAAGTATCTTCGAGCAGGAATTATGACTTAAAATAAATCAATTGTATTTTTGACACCTAACCTAACCTAATTCGACTTTCACCTCACACGAGATGCGCTTCGTCGGAGATTCTCATCTGTTTTCGCCGGCCGCAGTGACTGACAGAGAAAATTAGTGTATTTCCATTTATGTTTTTTTTTTTATATTCTGACCATGTTGCTTTGTTTTTCTTTCTGTGATTATTTGACATGTAATTTTACTATTATTATTATTATGATTAGTATTATTAACATCATTTGCGCTACAGCCAGCCTGTTGATGTATGGCAACAACAATAGACAACAATAGTGCATTTGAATGTGTGAATTTCGTGTCAGCGTCATTAGATAACATTGAGTAATTACGGGACGCCGAAGTTGCCAAGGATGACGCGCAGCAGCTGGAAGCTGTTCTACCCACGAAAGAGCAGCTTGTCGCAGCTTCTTTAGCCATAGGTACTAGGTACTGCGATCCCGGACCGAAGAAATGACTGGTTTGACGGCGAATGCAAACTGCTAATAGAGGAGAAGAATGCAGCACAGGCGAGAATGCTGCAACACCGAGATTGAATGTGGAGCGATACAGACAAGCACGGAACAGACAGCAGGAAGCCCGAGATCGCTAGGTGATGGAAAATCTGTACCGCGTAAACGGCACATGGAAGTTCTACGAGAAGTTAAAGAAATGGCTACGTGCCGCAAGCCGATATGTGCAAGGACTTGGACTTGCCATCAATGCATCGAAGACTAAATACATGCGAGGAAGAGGTTCTAGGGAAGACAATGTTGGTAGAGTTCAGATTGACGGTGATGAAAGCGAGGTGGTCAATGAGTCCGTGTATTTGAGCTCACTGGTGACCACCGAAAATGATACCAGAAGAGAAATTCAAAGACGCATTATGGCAGGGAATCGTGCCTACTTAGAACTCCGGAGGACTCTCCGGTCGAATAAAATTCGCCGCCGCACGAAGTTGACTGTCTACAAGACGCTGATTAGACCGGTGGTCCTCTACGGCCACGAGACCTGGACTATGCTCGTGGAGGACCAACGCGCCTGGTGGTGGTCTACGGCCACGAGACTTGGACTATGCTCGTGGAAGACGAACTTTCGACGAACGGTTACATTGGCGCCCAAAGTGGGACGCATGTAACCGTTCGTCGAGAGTGGCACATAAGCCACTGCGTTTGCAGCATTTCTCCGAGAACTTTCGACGAACGGCTACAAACTACAGCCTTTAAGAATAATCCAATGAGACTGATGCAAATTTTGACTTTTTCGCTCCACAGTGCTTAAAATGGTTTCAAATCAGGTCCTGATTAGCCTCCCAAAGTTACAACTCATTTGGTTAGAAACAGACTTCGCACAAGCCATTTGAAGTTTACATGTAAATTACTATGGAAAATCTCAACTTTGTGTTCATTGCCTTCTATTCTTTTTCCATATTGAGCTGCGAAACAGTTCGATAGCCAGTCTTATAGAAAATTTTCTCAGCTACAACTTTGCTGAAGATCGTTTCTATGTAAAACTAGACAGGAAAAAGTTATTAATTATTTAAGAGATTGGTAAGCTTATGACATGATCAAGCAGCTGCTCTGTAGGCAACACTGTATTTTGCAGTGTGACATAGTAGCCATAATGTTTGTGTCCTATTCAACGCCCCAGAAACACCAATGTTGCCTGCTGAGCAGTTGATTGAGCATGATCATAAGACATCAGCGCATTGAACCATTGATAACATTCGATCCTTGCATTTAATCAAAAAGTTGTCTTCAGCCAAGTTGTAGCTGGGAAAATTTTCTACAAGTACAATTGAAAGTTTTCGAAGCAGACCGATATGGTGAATTATTAGATAGACATGAACAAAAATTTTGGTTTTACCATAGTAATTCCCATACAAACTTCAAATGGTTTGTGCCATCTCAGTTTCTCACCAAATGGGTTCAAATTTTGAGAGGTTAGTCAGGATCCGATTTGGAATCGTTTAAGTATTGTGGAGTGAAAATTTCAAATTTTGCATCACTCTAGTGTCCATCTTCACTGCTGTTTTCGTCTTTACCGACTCTCCCCTATATTTTATCAGTTTGATCTCAGCTGTTGACTAAACTGCAGTTGTATAGGCCGGCGCACAATAGATACGTTTTCAGGTTTTTTGACAGTTAGCCCATGCATTATCTGTCAAAAAACCCGAAAACGTATCTATTGGGTGCCGGCCTTATCTCTCGCGATCGCGCTATTGACAGTTTTTACTTCTTTTGGGCCTCAAGAGAGCGTTTTGTTCCATTTGACCATAATGAGCTACGAACAAGGGTATACCTTGTATTCCAAGTTGTCATAGAATTGATCCTCTTTGAATGTTTTGGTAAGCTTTCCCTCTAGAAACCATGTTCCACTCTATCAACCCTACAGCTGTGCTACTATTAAATGTTTTCTGAAGCCTGAACAAGCTATATAGGGAAAGTTTATATTTTCTTCCCTCCCATACGGTTTTCTTTTATTGATCCATGAAAACGAAGAACCATACGATTTGCGGTGCTGTTGGATATGAAATGGGTCATATAAAGTAAGCTATTTTCTTATTCCTACCCACCCACCCACACACACACACATTTCAATAAAACTTCTATAGGCACCTCCAAGGTAAGCGGATTAGATGCAAAAGAATGGGTTTTTTTTATCGTGCGGAGTATCCCATTGCAATTAATCAACCTCTTCAGCCGGACGGATTTATTTTGCCATTGTTATCGTATTTCGATTGTGGCCTTGATGCCGATTGTTGTCTGGTTTGCCCAGTGTTAGCTTTCAGACCTTACATTGATTTTTAACACATGAAAAGGAAAGCAACCCTTTGCGGCGAAAACACAATTCAACAGAAGTTACTATCTTTTTGATGTCACCTTTCGACCAAATGCGACAATTGCCTTTTGTACAAAGGCCGTAGTAAATTGTATCAAATGTGTTGGGGTAAGGTTTACGAAAGTCATTTTTTTACTGGGCCCAGTTAAAGAGGCCAAAAGATCTCATCGTACAACGTGACAGGCATGTATATTTGCGTTGAAGATTTTTTTTTTCTGGCAAAAAAAGTTAAAGCATTAAATTAAACATCAGCGCTATGATAAAAGTATATTCTGCAAAAGTACATCACGATACACTTCAATTTTCAGTGCTTCCCCGTTAGTCAGCAACGCACAGTTGGGAATGATTGTTGCGGAACCGGAAAGGGACGAGGATTCCGTTTTTTCTACGGTTCGGTATGCAAACATCTGATTCCCCGGACACGCCTGGAGAGAATCATTTTTCTTTTTCAACGGTGGGGTTGATGCTTTTGTGTGTCATAACTGACTGTGAAGTAGAATCCTCTTGTCATCTTCCCACAGAAAGCTGAGAACGGGTCATGACTTCACTTCCCGCATTCAAATAAACCAACAGTCGAAAAGTTGTTGGGCTGTCAGCAACTCTGCCACAGTCTGTGCAGTTGGTAAAGCATAAAAGGAAAAATGGGTAGCTGTTTGCTACATCTTCGTGACAGTTTGATTGATTAGCAAAGTTTATGTTTTGCATGCAGTCAAACTGTAAGGAACAAGAAAGAGCTTATATAAACTTATGACTGCAAGTGATTTCAATAATTTAGTAAGGAGAAATACTGGATGCACACTTGACTTTTCTTGCTGAACTGGAGTTTTAAGCTGCGTTAAATATGCAGTAAAATTTCACAAAAATTGCGAAGAAATAGATCCAAAATTGCGGATTGATTTGCATCACTAAAAGGTGTTTGACGAACAGCTATGCTTATTTTCAGAATTATTGAATTTCAGCACAAGTAATTGTAATTAGTCCACTTACCTTTCGAAACGCTTTCCGAAAGTTCTCCGACAAAAACGCATACAGCAGCGGATTGATGCAGGAACTCGTGTACGCCAGCACGTGGGAGACGATCTGTAGTGATATCTTGAATGACGTATCCGGTACAAACACCCCGACGCTTTTTAGCACCAGTATCACCTGGAAACGAGAGATAATAAACAACATCATTAAAATGATGATGCTTCCGGGTAACTTCAAATCGACTCCTTCGGAATCCTCAAGTGGGTGCCACCATTACGTAGAATTATCATTACGCACTTGTTAACGTGAAAAGAGAAGCCGATTCTAGCACGTGATAGGCATTAACCTTACAGGTTAATTTCGCAGGCTGTTGATGCGGTATTTTCGTTCACATATGTAATTGGTTGAACTTTGCTGTTACCATATGCTTCCTATCGAGGGGTGTGGCTGCCTGGTGGAGTGGAAAATTCACTTGCTCCTCACCATGAATATTTATCAGATATCCGCAGGAAGTGTAGAAAGGCTCGTGTATCGGTGAAAAAAATATGTGTTCACCAACAGGTTATGTGGGAATGGCTGATGGCTGTGCAAAATCATTCTCTATATGGTTGCGCAATAAGTGCTCACATGAAGTTATATCAAATGGATGGTAAGTTGATATTTTGATAATTTAAATATTAATAATAAATTTTAATGTTTTTGACTGGATTTTTGTAAAAGCGGGATGTGAGTGCGATTCCAATTAATTCCACCATTACTCTTGCAACCGCTCTTCTCGATAATAAGTAATGAAAAGTTGCAATTTAACCAACCAATTCAAGGTTTACCTCTTTTTTTAAGGGATTTAAACAAATAAAACATTTCTGATTAATTTACATATCTCCAGAAATATCGTTGAATAATACGCACAAATCTTACATATTTTATAAAAAAAATAATACGAGGAACTTTTCAAATAAAACAAATCCTTTTATAAGTAAACACGTGGAGGACGAAAATTGTTCATTTAGCGATATCATCGACGATATATATATATAACGTCGGTCTCTGTTCCACAATCTAGTGCCAATCACCAACGGACAAAAGCTGATACGTCCATTTGAGTATTTGAGAACTGGTCTTAATAATGAAAATCTTCACGATACGAAACGACATAGTCCCCACCCTATAAAAATTTAAGATCAGGGTCGTTATTAGGGAAGCTGAAGCGAAGCGTTTTTCTTATGCTTGCACACTTAGAAAAATAAATGTAAATTTAGATATTCTGAGACTGACATATACAAGCGTCAATTTTGACATAAAATTGAGTCATAATAGATGCGAAATTCAGCTCAATCAAACCTACTTTTCGACGAGTAACGAACTTTTGATGATGATGATGGTCCCACCTCTTACCCCTACAAAGGTTTGAGCTGGACGATTTATGTTTAAGATAATTAAATATGACATTTTAACCAGGTTGGCAAGCAAAATCGAACTGGTTCCAGTTACAGATATAAATTCTCTCTAGAGTTTACAGTTGCTTCACAGCGATATAAATGTGGAAAAGCTCAGGCGTCCTCCTCTTAGTTCGCCTTTTTGTCCACCTAAAATATTCATAAGTATTACAAGCAATCAAGAGTTAATGAACAATCAAAAAAGCATCCTATTACACTAGCAACCCCGCCATCTGATGCTATCATAATTTTCAGCAATGTCAGGAATGCTCACGAACCCCCAACATTTGCCAGAAAACTTACTTCTAACTCAAGGTATCTTTCAAGTAAGCTTCAAAATTGCATTTTTTTTTATCAAATGTTACATTCAGTCCTCTATATCCATAATATGCGTGCGAGGCTCAAACCTTTGTAGACTACTATTTTTTTTACTACTACTATTAAATCATGTATCAAAAATCCATCATCACCATCGTGGCGAACAAAATAGTTTTTGCAGTGCTACAATAATTATTAAAAAGTCGTTATAACAGCTATCCATACAAAATAATCCGTTAAAAATAACTTCGTCAAGATACATAATTTGTCAATTCATAAAAAAAAAATCACTGGATAACCGTTCAAAAGACAGTTTTAACGTGTGAAATGCAATGTCTCTTAAATTCTGCTTATGTTGTTGAACGTTTAATGTGTCTAGGCATCGAATTGAAAACATTTATTCCTTTGAAAAATAATGAATTCTGGGAAGCACAAGTCAAGAAATGTGGTGTTCTTATTTCATCCGCGTTTCTAGTATTATATCTATGATATTCACTTCGTCTTTCAATTCGATCACACAAATATCGAGGCAGCAAACCGTTAACTACTTTAAAAATGAACACCATAGTAAAATATACAATTCTTTGCTTCACCGACAACCATTGTAAGGCGTCTAGCACCAAAGTTGAGGAAGTGAATCTATTACATCTCAAAATCAAACGCATTATTTTATTCTGCAAGCGCTGTAATCTCGATATTTGTGTTGCATTGGACAGAAATAAAATGGATGGGCAAAAGTCTAGATGAGGAGAGATGATTGATTTGTATAGCTGTATTTTACTGGCAATAGTTAAATCGTTTTTCAATCGACATAGAATTCCATATTTCTTGGCAATTTTCTTGATGACATTGTCAATGTGAGAGTTGAACTTAAGTTTGTCATCAATAATCACGCCAAGATATTTAATCTCCTGAACGCGATCAATAGTCTCATCAGCAATTACAACAGAGACGTTCTCATTTAATCGATTCCACGAAATCACCATAAATTTTGTTTTACTTGTATTCAATTTTAACTGCTTACACTTCAACCATCTACTTAGATACTGCAAATCTTCATTCAAGACGGCAACTTCTAAATCCTTAGCTGCAATGAATAACACAGTATCATCTGCAAAAAGATTAATGTCGCAAAAACGGAAAACACGTCGCAAGTCATTAATATACATAATAAATAAAAGGGGCCCTAATACACTTCCCAGGGGCACTCCAAGGTTGTTCCCCATGGGACTGGAAACAGAATCATTAAAAACAGTCCGTTGAGTTCTGTCAGACAAATAGCTTTCAAACCATTTATATGCAGTACTCGTAATTCCAAAGCGCTTGATTGTACTTAACAGTAAGGGTCTAGAAATTGTTTCAAAAGTGCGTTTCAGATCCAAAAAATTAGCAACAGTCGTATCTTTACTAATTTGCTAACATCAAATTCAATGCAGTTTCACAAGAATGCCCTTCCCGATATCCCGATTGTTCTGGTATCAACAAAGAGTTGCTATTCAAATACTCCAACAGCTGGCCTTTAACAACAAGTTCTAAGATTTTCTCTAAAGTGTGCAACATGTTGATGGGACGAAACTCTTCGGCTTTAATCTTTCCAGCAACTTTTTGAATAGGAACCACTAAGGATTCCTTCCAAATTTGTGGTACATGTCCATTCTGCAATGATTTATTAATAAGGTCCAGAAAGATGTGGCCAATGACATGAAAGCAATCTTGAATAACTCTAGCATTAACATTATCTACTCCAGCCGATTTTCCTAATGAAAAACAAATAACTCTAAGTTCATCTAATGTAATTGGGTGGAAAACTTCAAATCTACAACTACTATTAACTGGCTGTTTTATTTCGTCAGGTTCATCGACCAATTCAATAGATTTATTAATCAATGAAACACTGTCTACAAAATAATCATTAAACTTAGCTGCAATTACTTGTTCTGACTGTTTGCCATTAAAAGTTATGGACCGCGGTTTGCAATTACTAGGTTTTAATAAAGATTTCAAAATTTTCCATAACTCTTTGCTGTTGTTTTGATGCTGATCAATCTTCCTTTGAACATATCCACAACGAGTTTTCTTTATCGATTGTGAATACTTATTACGCGTGATTGTGTACCTAGTCCAATGATTGTCATTATTAGATCTACAAAACTTGTTGTACCATTTGTCCCTTTTCCGTTTAAGACGCAAAAGATCCAAATTGTACCAGCTGTTCGAGTTTTTCAAAGAAACAAACTTTTGCTCAACTAGTTGATTGGTACACGTTTTCAAAGCGTTATTAAGAACAGCTGTAGATTCATCTAAGTTACTGGCCGCGAATGGAAAATCCAGGCTTCTCTCAACAAGGTTTGAAAGTACTGAGTCACTTGAGAATAGCTCGGAATCACTTCTAACAGTTCTGAATCACTTCATAAAAAATAGGAATCACTTCAGACACTACTGGACCACTTCAGAAAAGTTTGGACACACTTCGTAAGCGCTGAATCACTTCAGAAATGTTTTCAACACTTTGTTAGAAATGTTTGGAATCACTTTTGAACGTACTGAATCGATTCAGAACAGTTTGGAATCACTTCAGAAATATTAAAAGTCACTTCACCAAGAACTGAATAACTTCAGGATGATCGGAAACACTTAATAAATATTCGAAATCACTTTGGAAAGTACTGAATCATTGCGGAAAAATCACTTTGAAAATAATTGAATCAATTAAAAATGCACTAAACCACTTCGGAAACTGTTGAATCACTTTAAGCTCGGAATCTCTTCGGTAATATTGAATCACATCAGATAATTTCAGATCCATATTGGAAAGTATTGAATCATCCCAGAGAGTGTGTATTAGACTGCCAATGAATGTATGGGAAAAAATTGACCATCAAATTTCGCTAACAAACCATATACAAAATGTTTATTGCCTTGAAAAATGGCCCTATGCAAAATTTGAGCTCAATCGGACATGATTTAGGGGTGGCGCAAACGCGTCAAAGTTTGACTTTTTTCACTCTCGAAAATCTCCCAAGGGCCGGGATACATTAAATTTCGGAAATCAAAAAAAAAAATTTAATGCCAAATGTCTTAAAAATGCATGAAACGTCGAGATTTTGTTTTATCTCGAAATTTTTTTTTAAAAGATCGACTTTCTGGGACTTAAATTTTTTTTCATGAGTTCTATATGGAATATAGAAGATTGATGAGTCGGCTTCTAAAACTGTTCACAATTGTCTCCAACCTGCTCATATATCGAATTAAACCACCATTTAGGATCTAATACGAAATAATTCACTAGGGTGGTCCAATTATTCTTCATTAGGGTGGTCCAAAAATCATAATAGGTATGTAAGAACCATTACTTTTTACCAAACGCATGTATCTGAAAATATCATCATGCTATGTTTTGGAATTTTTAAGAATCCAAACTTC